AAAAGTATGTGAAATTCAAATTTCAGGGCCCATAAGTAAAGTTTTTGTGGACAAAGCTACACTTACAGATGGCCAAAAAGCACATGGAAAGATGATCAACATCACTAATTGAGAAATGCAAATCAAAACTACAATGAGGTATCACCTCATACCAGTTAGAACGATCATCATCAAAAAAAATCTACAAACAGGGACTTCCCTGGTGGTCCAGTGGTTAAGACTCTGTGCTTCCACTGCAGAGGGCAAAGTTTCAATCCCTGGTCAGGGAACTAAGATCCCACATGCCACGCTGTGCAGCCAAAAAAAAAAAGAAAAACAAAAAGAACTACCATATGACCCAGCAATGCCACTCCTAGGCATATACCTGGAGAGAACCATAATTTGAAAAGATACATGCACCCCAATGTTCATTGCAGCACTATTTACAATAGCCAGGACATGGAAGCAACCTAAATGTCCATCGACAGATAAATGGATAAAGATGTGGTACATATATACAATGGAATATTAGTCATAAAAAATGGATAAAGATGTGGTACATATATACAATGGAATATTAGTCATAAAAAATTTAAAAATAATGCCATTTGCAGTAACATGGATGGACCTAGAGATTATCATACCAAGTTAAGTCAAAGACAAATATGAGGAATTTATTATATGAGGAACCTAAAAAAAAGGGTACAAATGAACTTATTTACAAAACAGAAGTAGAGTCACAGATGTAGAAACAAACTTGTGGTTACCAGGGGGTAAGGGGGGGAGGGATAAGTTGGGAGATGGAGATTGACATATATACACTACTATATATAAAACAAACAACAAGGACCTACTGTATAGCAGTACAGCACAGGGAACTCTACTCAATACTCTGTAATGACCTATATGGGAAAAGAATCTAAAAAACAGTGGATATATGTACACGTATAACTGATTCACTTTGCTGTACAGCTGAAACTAACACAACATTGTAAATCAACTATATTCCAATAAAAATTTTTAAATAAAATAAAATTTCCAGAAAAAAAAAAAGCTACTCTCACATCCATTGGAATAAAGCCACATGTCGTCTGTGGCTGCTTTTGCACTGCAATGGCAGATCTGAGCAATGTGACAGAGGCTGGGTGAGCTGCTCTCATCCTCTGCAGTGATGACTCAACAGCGTTTTGAATGCCACGTTATCACTGTCTCACAGCATCTTATTTTTTTATTGCCAGTGCACATCCATGGTCAAAAGAAGAAAATCAGACTTTGAATATCACAATTTTAAGGTAAAGTGGAGTGTAGATTATTTTGTTATTGAAGTCGACAGCAAAACATTGGGTTGATGATGCAATGACACTCCACCTGTGCTAAAAGAATGCAATACACAACAAGTTAGACTAAAGCAGTCATCATTGTATTCCCAACTCAGAGGAAACCAACAGTTAGAAAAAAATAGAAAATTTCAGATGGAATATCTCACTGGAATTTCTTCACAAAAATAAAAAATGAAAATGAGGTTGCCACCAAAGTGGGTTTCCAAGTGTCTGATTTGTTAGCCAGAGAGAGCCACTTAACTGATGCTAAGTTAATTGAATTGTGTTGATTTTAGCAGCCAAAGAAAGGTATCCAGATAAAATAAACTTGCTTTAGACATTCAGTGAGAAAGTTGCTCAAAGACTTGAGGATATTGGGAACACCATCAATGGTCAATTAGAGAACAGGATAGGGAATTCCTTGGCGGTCCAGTGGTTAGGACTTGGCGCTTTCACTGCCGTTGGCCCGATCCCTCGTAGGGGAACTAAGGTCCCACAAGCTGCTTGGTGCAGCAAAACAAAAACAAAAAACAGGACAAATTATTGTGAGTGATTTTCCTTGATTATCAATGAGTTGATAGATGTCACCAATACTGTCCAGTTGCTTTTATTTGAGGTGTCACTGCTGAGTTTGATGTCACCAAAGAATATAAGCCTCTTTGGGACTTCCCTGGTGGCCCAGTGGTTAAGACTTCACCTTCCAATTCAGGGGGTGTGGATTTGATCCCTGGTCAGGGAACTGAGATCCCACATGCCTCGCAGCCCAAAAACCAAAACATAAAAAAAACAAAAGCAGTATTGTAACAAATTCAATAAAGACTTCTTAAAAAATGGTCCACATCAAGAAAAATCTTTAAAAGAGAAAAAGAATAAGTCTCTTTGAAGAGTCTGCACAGAACAACTAGTGGCAAGAATATTTTCAGAAAAGATGAGAAATCACTAATTAGACACAACCTGAAGGGGAAATCTGCTAAGATGTGTTAAGTTTGCTGGAGATAAAAATGTGTGAAGCAGAAAGAGGCCTACTTGGACAAATTTATAAAGCTCTAGAAAATGTAAGGTGTTTAGAGCCTATGGTTATTCATTGTACTCAAATTACTCATCAGGAGCTAATTTGCAGAACATATTTGATTCATGTGTTATTGAACTAGAGTTACCCACAGCAAACTTCCTTTGCTGTTGTTTTTAATCCATCATCAGATCTGTGAATTTTTGTTAGAATTAGAAGCTGAATAGCCTGAATTGCCCCACCACATAGCAGTTTGATGGCTTAGCAGTGGTCAAGTTTTATTGCAGTTTTTTTCAGTTCAGAGCCAAGGCTGAAATTTTTCACAACAGAGCACCATTCTAAACCATTATCACTGAATAATTAATGGCCTTGGAAATTAGTTTTTGCTACAGACTTGATAATGTTTCTCAGTGAATTCAAACTAAAATGACAGGGCATGGGAATTCCCTGGCAGTCCAGTGGTTAGGACTCTGCACGCTCACTGCTGAGGGCCAAGGCTCACAATCCCTGGTTCAGGAAATCCCATAAGCCATGTAGTGAGGCCAAAAAACAAAAAGTAAAATAAAATAAGATGACAGGGAAAAACAGTGCTTATATGTGAAATGTATACTGCGGCAGTCATGTTGACAATAACTAATGTTGTTTTGAATCACAAGGAATGTTAAGCTGCTTTATACACTTCCTGTGCTGTCAAAAGTTAAAACAAGAAGCAAGATCTCATTCTCACACAAATTTGCAGCAGATATATTTCCTGAGCTCCAACTACAGTTCCAGCAGAATTTTTCAGAACTTGATGCCAAGTGCAATGGAAATTTCCATATTTCAAAATCTATTTAATTGGGCAATTGAGGAGTTTCCACCCAACCTTCAACTGAAGAGGATTAATCTGCAATGTAAAAACAAGCTAAAAGGCAAATATCCAGAGAAGAATCTAAGATAATTCTATACATGCCATCCCACAATGAATATGCTCAATTAAAATCATGCAGCATTGGCAGTACCATCTGGCTGAGAGACGTTTTCAAAGATGAAATATACAAAGTCTCATTACAGCTCAGCATTGACAGCTCAATATTTGATGACAGGGTCACGGATTTTGAAACCCAATTAAGCAAAATATTATCTCAAAAGAATTCCATTATTCTCATCAGTATACCTGGATTATAAAAAAGTTACACTCAATTACTATGATATTTTGAATTTCATTTTCAAAGAAATTGTAGAAAAAATTTTTTGTCATTAGACAAAAGAACATTCCAGATAGGTAAAACAGGTGGTGCAAATACTGTGAGGTATTAAGATGCTCCTGTTTTAGAGGATTTTCTACAGGAGCCAGTGAGGAGAAGCAGGAGACTGGAGCAGGATTACATATTTCTTGATTTTCCTCTTGTCCTGTAAAGCCTAAAATATTTACTATCTGGACCTTTACAGAAAAATTTGGTGACCCGCCCCCCCTGCCCGGGACTAAAGGGTTGCACAGAACTGACTTCTTCGAGATAAGTGTGAGAGGGGAATCAGTGTTCCCCTGAGTGAATTTCACTAAAGGCACTCCAGAATGCTCTGAAATCCAGAGGAAACAAGAAAATCTGCCTTCTAGCTCAAGTGACATGAAAGTAGACATTTTATAAAAGAGGTGGTAGAGCAATTAAAACTAAATTAGAAAATGCCAGGGGGACCATGACCACACTTTAAAACACTGGAGTAACGTTGGCCAGTGTTTTCTAGAGGGGTCCGTAGAGCTTCCGGATATGGCAGCCAAGCCTCGTTCAGAGATGTCACCCTCAGAAAGAAGTGATTAGTAAGTTGATATTTTAAATAGTGTAGCATGGGACTTCCCTGGTGGTCCAATGGTTAAGACTCTGTGCTCCCAATACAGGGAGCCTGGGTTTGATCCCTGGTCGGGGAACTAGATCCCACACACCACAATGAAGATCCCACGTGCCGCAACTAAGACCTGGCACAGCCAAATAAATAAAAATAAATAAATAAATAGTGTGGCATGGAAAATTATAATGGGGATGTGAACACTATTTTATTAGTATTGCAGAAGCAAACTAATAGGAGGGGAAGAAAAAGAAAATAATCAATAAGCTCTTTTTTTGTTTTAGGGAGATAAGCTTGGAAATATATATGAAACATGGGGAAGTAGTAACTGAGAACTGCAGAGCCAGAGGGAAAGTTTACTGCACGGAGCGAAAGGTCTCCAAGGACAAGTCTAATTAATGCAGTAGAAACAGGTCAACCAGGCCTCGTGGAGAGCGCACCTGAGAACCGCTGACCTTATCAAGTCAGTGTGGTAAACACACTTCCTGCTTCTCCCCCTACACAGTCACACCTCTTCTACCCTCAGCATCATTGCTAGGAAAGAACCCAGGGCAGGAGGGAGAGACAGATGCTTGTTCTTCTGGGTCCTCAGTAAGGCAGCAATCTAGGAAGTTGGCCTGGCCTTAACCATCACCCGCAGGGTTGGACCTGCGCAGATAGGGGAGAATAAAAAGTCAATGGCGGGTCCCAAGGTTGTGTCCTCAGTTCAGAGGCGGCCTCGGGGATAGGAAGTCAGGAATCCTGGCAAGTTGCTCAAAAAGCCTTGTCAGTCCTTTGAATCTAAACCATAAATATCTTAGAATACAAGTGTAAGTATAATGACATCTGGAAACCCTGGGAATGAGCAAGCTAAGGCAGAATCACAAATCTTTATGCTTTAGCCGTTTTTTTTTAATGCTTCCTTGTTGCTTGTCCATTCATTTCCATTTTGTTATCTCTTAGCATCTAGAACGTTTTCTGGAAAAAAAAATTTTAAGCTTGTCTCAGGTGTGCTAAGGAAAATTAAAGTACTTAATTTTTTTACTGTGAAAAATTTCAAACATATACGAAAGTAGAATAATATAATTAACACAACCCCCCCCCCACAAGCACATCAGGTCTCCAACTTCAACAATTATCAACAAGGCCATTCTTGGGACTTCCCTGGTGGCCCAGGGGTTACAACTCCGCACTTCCATTGTGGGGGGCATGGGTTAGATCCTTGGTTGGGGAACTAAGATCCTACATGCCAGGGGGTGCAGCCAAAAAAAAAAAAAGCCATTCTTGTTTCACCTTGATCCAATCCACACCCTATTCCCCACTGCACTTTTTTTTTTTTTTTGGCTGCGTTGGGTCTTCATTGCTGCACGCGGGCTTTCTCTAGTTGTGGTGAGCAGGGGCTACAACTACAACATTGCAGTATGCAGTCTTCTCATGGCGGTGGCTTCTCTTGTGCAGCACAGCCTCTAGGCACGCAGGCTTCAGTAGTTGTGGCCCGCGGGCCCTAGAGTGCAGGCTCAGTAGTTGTGGCGCATGGGCTTAGCTGCTCCGCAGCATGTGGGATCTTCCCAGACCAGGGCTTGAACCCGTGTCCCCTGCACTGGCAGGTGGATTCTTCTTTTATTTTTTTTAAATAAATTTATTTATTTTTATTTTTTAAATTTATTTTTGGCTACATTGCGTCTTTGCTGCTGTGCACGGGCTTTCTCTAGTTGCGGCAAGCGGTGTCTACTCTTTGCTGCGGTGTGCGGGCTTCTCATTGTGGTGGCTTCTCTTTGTTGCGGAACACAGGCTCTAGGCGCATGGGCTTCAGTAGTTGTGGCATGCAGGCTCAGTATTTGTGGCTCACGGGCTCTAGAGCGCAGGCTCAGTAGTTGCGGCTCACGGGCCCAGCCGCTCCGCGGCATGTGGGATCTTCACAGACCGGGGCACAAACCCGCGTGCCCTGCATTGGCAGGCGGACTCTCAACCACTGCGCCACCAGGGGAGACCCCAGGAGGAATTTTTAAAGAGGGGAGCGTGGCACTCTGGCAGCAGAATGGTGGCGGTATGTGAAATCCAACCCCTCCACCCTACTCCAAGATTGACATTCCTATCTGGTGCTAGAATTTACTTTAGAGGGCCTCAGTTTCCCTATAACCAAAACAAGGAAAGTGGACTAAATTATAGGCAATAACTGTGTAACAGTGAAATGAGCCCTTGACTTTGAGTCAAAAGACCTGGATTAAGAGTGCTAGCTGTGGGACTTCCCTGGTGGCACAGTGGTTAAGAATCTGCCTGCCAATGCAGGGGACATGGGTTCGAGCTCTGGTCAGGGAAGATCCCACATGCTGCGGAGCAACTAAGCCCGTGCGCCACAACTACTGAGCCCGCGCTCTGGAGCCTGCGAGCCGCAACTACTGAGCCTGCGTGCCACAACTCCTGAAGCCCTCACGCCTAGAGCCCCTGCTCCACAACAAGAGAAGCCACCACAATGAGAAGCCCACACATCGCAACAAAGAGTAGCCACACCACAACAAAGAGTAGCCCAGCTCGCTGCAACTAGAGAAAGCCCGCGCACGGCAACAAAGACCCAACACAGCCAAAAATAAATAAATAAATAAAATTTTAAAAAAGTGCCAGCTGTGCCTCTTGCAAATTATGTAACTTACAATAACTTATGTAAGCAAGCCACTTAACCTCTCTGAGGTTTAATTTTGGATCTATGAGATGCTCACTAAATATTTTTTCTATTTCTTAATTTTGTATCTATATGTTTACTTGTTACAATTATTTTATGATGTACATAAATCAAATCATTATGCTGTACACCATAAACAGTGCTGTATGTCAATTATATCTCTATAAAACTGGAAGATAAATGAAATACATTAGAAAATGAAAAATATATATATAAGACATGGAACGATTCAGTCAGCTAGTCAGTTGAGCTAGGATTGCAACCCAAGCCTTCACCTCCAAATTCTGAGCTATTCAAATTGTGCTCGAAATTAATACAACACGAAACTTTGCGGGGGGAAGCTGAAAACCTGCTTTGCTGAGTCACAAAATGCACTAGACCGTGACACTTCCCCCGGAGTTTACACCGGAACAGACATCACCCATCACCCTACAATGTAGGCCAGGCTCAACCCCGGAGTGCGAAGGGCCACAATGAGAGTCCGATGACCAGGGGTCTAAGAATGGGCTCGTGCTGCCAGCGTCTCCCTTTCCGGACACTGTTTCTCCTCTGTCCGGTTCCGGGCTGCAGGTTTACCTCAACAGTCATTCATTCCACCAAGATTTGAGAATCAGCTCAGGGTGGGACGGCTCGCCAGGCCCAGAGCTGAACGAGGCGAGGCAGACCAGACCCTGCTCCCTTAAACTGACTGTCCAGTGCGGGTGGGGGCGGCCGGGCTCCAGGGTCCCGGGGGGCTATGCCCGACAGCGTTCGCACCTGCCCGGCACCACCTGAGCGTAAGCAACGGTCGGCTCCGCAACCCCTTAACCTGGCCGTCCCGCTGCGGTCACCCCGGCCCCGCGGGGCCCATCGCGCCCGTCAGCTCACCTAGGGGCCGCGCCCCCGGCCGAACCCAGCCTGCGCTTCCCGCTTTGTTCCCAGAGCGGGTTCTGGAAGCGCCGCGCGCGCCCAGCCCCAGCCGCTTCCAGGCAGCGCCCCCCAGCTGCCTGGGAGGGCGCGCGGGGGCGCGCACGAGCGGCGCACGCCCGTCCCGCATGCCCGCGCTCCCGATTGGCCGCGCCGCGTGACATCACCGGGAGGCCCCGGCGGCCGCTGGGAGCCGGCGCCCGCGCGTGCGCAGACGGAGGGCGCTGAGCGGAGGGGGAGGTGGCTGGCCGCTTCTCCCGCGTCCGCCATTTTGTTGCTGTGGCTCTTGGGAGCTGGCTGGGCGAAGCGGATCTGGCGGCGCGGCGCTCCCGGGGGTCCGGTGCTTGGCTTGGCCTCGGGGCTCGGTGCGGAGCGGCGGGGGCGCGGGGCCGGCGCGCGCCGGGCCAGGAGTGACCGGAGGGTCCCGGGTGGCCTCTGCCGCGCTTGGCTTCACCGCCGCGACCCGGCTGGGCCCGCACCCCCGAGCCGGCTCGTTCCGTGGAGCGGCCCCGGAGCAGGCGGGCGGTGCGGAGGATGCTGCGGGCCCGCGGCCGCGAGGAAGGTGCCGGCTCGGCTCAGTAGGCGCGCGGTGAGCCAGAGGCCCGGCCCGGCCCGCAGACGGTTCGGGCGGAGCGTCCAGCGCAGGCAGAGCAGCCCCGGCCCGCCCGGCCCAGCGCCCGGCCCGCCATGTCCTCCGCCAGGTTCGACTCCTCGGACCGCTCGGCCTGGTACATGGGGCCCGTGTCTCGCCAGGAGGCGCAGACCCGGCTCCAGGGCCAGCGCCACGGCGTGTTCCTGGTCCGCGATTCGTCCACCTGCCCCGGGGACTACGTACTGTCCGTGTCCGAGAACTCGCGGGTGTCTCACTACATCATCAACTCGCTGCCCAACCGCCGCTTCAAGATCGGGGACCAGGAGTTCGACCACCTGCCGGCCCTGCTGGAGTTCTACAAGATCCACTACCTGGACACCACCACGCTCATCGAGCCGGCGCCCAGGTGTGCGGAGGGCGTGTGCGGGCGGGGGTCGGGGCTGGACCCGTGGCCCCCTTTTCGGAACCGGGTTACTTTCCGGAGGGCATTCCGAACCGAAGGCAGTGTCAGGATCTGGGTCATTGTTGATGAAGGGGTGCGTCTTAAATGTGTTGAGTTGCGGGTACCTAGTTGAAAATGGACGCTTTTTGCCTTCGTTACGTTCTTGGTTTAATTACCCGGCTAAAGCAGAATTTTGTTGCTGTTTTTGAAACCTTTTTTGGGCCACAGATTGAGACTCTGAAGCTAGCTTACCCTCCACCCCCGCCCCGCAAGCACACACGAGTTTGCACACCTTTCAAGGTTTTTGAACTCCAGGTTAAGACCTCCTGGACTGCAGCTTTTGGAACACTGGGCAGATGAAAATGCTTTAGCGTTTAGAAACAAATACCTTTAACTGTGAAATATCAGAACTATATATTGATACCCTGGTGCCAAGTTTGAAATAATCTAGGCATCTATTTTATAATACATTAATTACAAAAATTGTAAAAGAAGGTGCGTTGGCTTCAACGAAGACTTTTTTTTTTTTTTTTAACAGTTTCCCCCCAAGCTGGACCGTCCATAGACTGGAAATCCATTTGGTTAAATTCCAAGGAGGAATGAGGCTAGAATGTTCCTAAGGGAATTTTTTGAATGACACTCATCTTAATTCTATCTTACTTGAATTTCAGATGTACTTTTTGTGTTAAGTTTAATGACTTAGTATCTATTTTAAAGTTAACCCAGAGTGACACCAATCATTAGGCATCCTCTTTTCATTTGATTATTTGCCTTAATCAGTATTTTGCTAGAGGTTTCTTTTATTTAAATTACGCCAAATTTGAGCTGAAGAGATTGCCTAGAATTTTAAAAGTAAAAGGTATTTCACTGCCCAGTTGATTTCTTAAACATTTGTTTAAAAAGGACAGATTTTTCAGGATGAGATGTTTCTGACTTTACAGATTTCTCTGACAGGATTCTACTCTGAGCTCTAAACACTAAAAGGTATTATATTAATTAAGGAGCACCCACTGGACGCCTCAGCGTTGCTTCTGTGGAATAGAGATAGAGAAGGAACAGCATGACAGTGGAATGACTTTGAGGTTAACTGCAGAACTAAATGGATTTTAAAAACTGGTGAGAAAGTGATTATAAATCAGATAGTGTATAACGAAGACCTAGACACCAAAAAGAATCTGATTGGTGAAACCTCCAGGTCCCGGAAGATACTGGTGACTGGAGTCAACTTTCAGCACATGTAATTCCAATATAAGGGGTTGGAGAGACTCTTAGAACCCACAGTAATGAGATATTAAATACGTTTAAGTAAATTACTTGCCTAGCTTGTGGAGGTGAATTATATCATTAATTTTAGGCATTTAGCATGCCATGTTGTGTGCCAGGTGTGTGCACTTTGAGGTGACAGGTACTATAGTGCAGCTGTGAGTGAATAACTAGATCCCCTTCTGGGTGGAGAAAAAGGATTGTGCTGCAGCGGCTTCCCGCAGAAACGACCCCAAACTTCCCCTTTGGGCGTCTTCCCAGGTGCCCTTGTAACTTTGTGAGTGTGGTGCCTGCCCTCACCCCTCTCATCCTCCTTCCCGGGAGCCAGCCCTGCACGCCCATGCACACCTGTGGGCCTTCGTTCGACTGCTGGCCCTCCGTGGAGCACCTCCCTCCACCGGTTCCTCACCTGCGGAAATCCTCCCTGTGGTGCTGGGGCCTTTACCTGACCCCCTTGAGTTCAGCCTTGATTGTTTCTCCTCTGTGCCCTCTGCCCCAGGCATTTTGCTGTAGTTTAGTTTTTCCTTTTCCCTGCTGTCTCCAAGGGCTGTCACAGTGCTGGTTGAATCAGATCCTGGCTGGATTTACTTTGTCACACTAAATCTGGATTGCCTCTCCTGAGGATTTGGTTGATGTGTTACCTACTGTAGGAGACTACGCCAGGCAAGCCTTGGCCAAATGCAGAAATCAGGGCGATGCATTTTCACACCCCAGACAGGATAAATAAAGTGGTTTAGCTTTTTTAGGCCTCAAAACTGAGCTTCTGAAGCCAGAGTTTCATGCCCCTTGGCTAATTGTTCTTTTGGGGGGTCTGTTTTGCTTAGTGAAAGGTCACAACTGTATGACTTCCTCAGAATTTAAGGACTGGTGCTTGTTTTGTGCTAGTCTGATGTTTTTTATTGGAATGTTCCTTAACTTTTAATTTTATATTTTTATTCAAATATTACAGGAGAATTATGTTCCAGTGATAGGTACTGGGAAAGAGGGGTGACAGACATGCTTTCTCTGTCATGGAACTTAGATTTTAGTGGAGGAGACAAACAGAAAAGTAGAAAAATAAAATACTACAAGATTTGTGAATGCTATGAAGGAAATCAATCTAGGCTGAGAGGATCTAGTAGAAGGGACTTACCTGAGCTGGTGAGGTAAGAGAAAGCGTGAAACTGAAGAAGGGAGGAGGAGCAAGGCTTGGGCGAGGAGGGGGAGAGCTTATGCAAAGTTCTGGGTTGGGAAAGACAGCAATGTGATGTGAGTGTGGCTCTGAGATGCCGATCTAGAAGAGTTTGGACAGGTAATGGTCAAAGGCAGGAAATTGGGTGCCATGGAAGGGGTTTGAAGCCAGGAAGTGACCTGAGGCTGTTACTGCAATCCAGGTCAGAACGATGGTGACTGATGAGTCGCCCATCCGTCCATCATAGAGACATTATGTAGACTGAGTGATGGCTGTGGTTTGAAAATAAGTTGCTGGTGGGAGGGGGGATGATGGGGAAGAGAAAAGAAGAGACAAAGATGACTTGGTATATTTGTAGCTGTCTGTTCTCTGGGTTATCTTATTGTCTTTTGAGTTTGTCTGTGGTATTCATCTCTGTCTTAGATTTTAAATTTAAACACAAAAGGTATATCAGTGGCTTTTGATTTTTGAATGACCCTAAAGGATTCTTTTTCTGCATATGGATGTAATTTTTATATTAAAAATCATTTGATAAACAGAAAACTTGTGGTTTTCACCTCCATTTTATTTGAGTATAAACACTTTTAAGATTCCGTTTATTAGGTTATAATTAGTATTCAGGTAGGCGCTACTGGTTTTTTTGTTTCTGTTTTAATAGAGGCTACTTCCAGTTTAACAACAGAGTGTTTCAGGTTTCTGAGTGGATTTAGTTTAGCTGTGAAATACATTTTCCTACGGTTTAGAAAATTGAAAGTGTGTTTTGCGTAGCTTGCTTTGCTTATAAAATTTTCCAGTTCTAGCTTATGTAGCTATATGACGGCTGGGAGAAAAATCATGAGAAGTAAAAGTTGAAAAACTGAGGCAAGTTGACCCATAGAGAAAACCCTGTTTTTTACTCAGCAGACATTGCTCATTGCATGTGCTGGTAATATGGAACTAACATTGACTCAGCAGTCCCTGTCATGCTCTTGAGGAGCTTCCTGGTTACTGAGACTTTATTTAAAAGGCCAAATTCATGTCATCTGATACAGACAGTAGCTGTGGGAGGGCGGAGAAAGGATGCGCCGCCTAACCTGAGCATCCCGAGGGGACCCTCACAATGTGTGCCACAGAGGCTACACCGTGGGGGACCGGAGGGTACCGCAGGTAGCATGGCCATGCCTCCCCCCATGGCCCCTGTCTGAATATTTAAGGGAACTTTTGGACTTTTGTAATTAGGAGTAGGGGAGAAGGATTAACAGTGATTTTGATTAGCATAGAATTGGACACTGTGGATAAACCTTTGAGTTTCTTCTTACCAATAGTTTAAATCACCTAAGTTCAATTTAGATGGGATCCATAAACGTCATTACGCTGGGAATGGAGTCTCGCCCAGGTGAGAATTGTGTTCCCATGGCAAGTAAAGTGCTGATAGCCATTTGCTTCGTGACCTTTCTCTTGTTTAAGACTCAAATTCAGAGAACTTTTTATCTAAGATTTCTGTTCTTGATCTGAACAGTTGGACTAGGTTCTAAGGTTCCTTCAGGCTAAAATATTTTAGTTCTTTCTGATAAGTGAAAGAGGGCAGTGGTGATTATCCTGGAGTCGGAGTTAAGGTCACAAGGAGTAAGGTGGGACCATCAGGCATGTGCAACTGGTGGGGAACGACAGCCGAGTGTGAGC